ATTATGGCATTACATTCTCACTTACTGATCACTTGATTCCATTACAAGAGTTTGTTGGCACATTGTGAGGAATCATTAGAACAGAAAGTAAAGTGGTTGTGCTGCTGCTTTCTTCACTTCCTTGGGAAGCACACAAGTTTTCTTATAAAGATCTGTTAAAGAAAGCATGACTTTTTCCACCTTTTCTTTCAGTGCTTTTTGGTATTCTACAAGCTAGCCCTTGGTTCTGGTACACAATTTGAGACAAATAATTTACTGACTAAAATCCAATAGTAAGTCACGTGTCAAATAGGCTCATTGAATCAATGGAACTTCCATAGGTTTCACTCAACAAATCTGATTCAGTGGCTCTACACCAGTTGCAACTTACTGGATTTCAGGCACTGTGTAATAATGTATTTCTCTGGAAGTAAGTTTCACTATTTTTTCAACAGGGGTTACTCTTAGGTAAATGTTCATTGGATCACAGTCTTGGTCATTTCCACACAGTTTGTTGTGTGGGATGTAGATTCAGTGATCTTATCTCTTAATGCTGAAATTTTATAAAACTTTTAAGGCTTTTTTCCTAAACAAAAAAGTTATCTAAAGGAGTGCAGGCTCCCAGAATTATTTTCAAGTGAGCCTTGATTTATTAACAGAAAACCCCAACTCAGTGAAATTGCAGCTAATAAATTACTGAATGTGACTATAACAACAAACAGTTATTGAGATCAGACTATTAAATGTAACATGGAATTTTTGTGAGGGATAGGCAAAGGGACTTCAATTGCTCTTTCATATCTTGCTGAAACCAGAAATCTGCAAAACTCAACAGGCAAAATATAAAGAAAAAAAGACTCTTTTAAAACTCAGTCATGCTGATCTTTGGAACCTTAGATAATATGCTGACGATTGCACAAGTGACTTCATAGCAAGGGAAGAGCTACTGGATGGAAACAAGGAAATGTTGATTAGACTCAGAATTAGTCATAGTAAAGTCAGTGAAATCAGTGACAAACATAAGTCCCGTTTATTTTACTGAGTTTTTGAGTTAACTTTTAAAAATATGCTCTTTATTTTTAGCAAGAAACATTGTTTTAAACAGACATGTTTTTTTTACCAGTGGCTTTGTTTTATTTTTTGTATGCCAGGTCTTGGAGAGATTTCTTCTTGGATGTAGTACCTGGACTTGTTTTGGCGACAGCAAAAGAAGACATAGAGTTTCGGAAGAGCATTCCAAGACAGTTATTGATGGTAATGTTTCAAGACTGAAGAAATAAAAAAAATCAGTACACATTCGCTCCTAGAATAAAAAGTTAATAGTTTCAGTTTTAAATATATACCAAATTCTTTGATCTGTACCAGGAGTTCCAAAACGATACTTCTTGAAAGAGGTATCTCTTTGCAGCAGGTATCATATTCTGTCTGGTTCCCTTTAACAGCCTTATGAGTAAAACCAGTATGCTGCCAGGTTTTATTTTCTCCTGTAGTTCTCTTATGTTAGAGATACTGTTTTTATGCTAGATTGCTTCCTGATAAAATCATAAAATAGCAACAGCTATTGTAGAAAGTCAAATCAGTCTTCAGAAAAGTTTTATTTTTAATTTTTTGCTTTAAAATGTTAGGTGATGTGAATTCTAATGCAGTATGATTGTTTGTTGTTGTTTAGTCATTTAGTCGTGTCCGACTCTTTGTGACCCCATGG